TAACAATAATGCTGACAATGGACGTTAAGATAAACACTCATTGTTTGCAACTGGAAGCTTATCACCCGTTATATCAAGAATCGTCAACAACGGAGTATACAGATAAGATGTTATTTAAACCCTTTCAAAGATAAACAATATGCAAACGGCAGTTGTAGTCTTTTCTGCTAGCGTTTTAAAACACTGATTTGAGCGACGTTATTTCGCAATTTCGATCTTTTGTAAACCTGGGATGATGTATCAAGGTCTAAAGTAAACGTTTTATCAATTTTTGAAAAATCAAGAAAAAAGTGAAAATTTCCCTTCTCGCTACCTTAATACTTTTACGGTGATAAAAGATCATTGTCTAAAACTTACGAAACACAGACGTATTCAGAATGAGTATTGACAGAGGTCGCCGCCAGAACAAAAGCAGTTTCATTGCCTGTCTGACATCTTATCACCGCTGAACAATAAATAGGTGTGAATATTTTTAGGCATGTTGTCGAAACAAAAGAATAGGATTAGGAACAATGCCGTTTTGGAACAATGAAGTCAGTCACGGTCTTGTTGAATTGGGGGTGCGGTTAATAATAGGTACTTTTCAAGTTTTCAATTTTTGTTAAGAACTCCTTAACCCCAAAGCCGGAATTGGGGGTGTGGTTACTATTACGTATGCGGTTTATATTAGGACTTTAACGGTATTTTTATTTTCATTAAATTAAATTTCTTAACGAGGGCTAAATTTAGTAAAAAATATTTATTTTACATATTACAAGTTCAGAAATGTGCACTAGTTTTATTTTGCTTTACAAATGGGTGTGGTGTGTCATCAGGTTTTCAAACACAGTGATACTTCATCTCAAATTTTACTATTACTATGTGTGAATGTGCCAACCTAGTATTGACCATAGAGAGTATGGCAGCATGCACAAATACATATGAAACAGCAAAACTGCATTTCAGATAAATGTTTTTGTTGAAATAAACATAATTCAAAGAAATGATCAATGCCACATCACTTTGTAATGCATCTCCTATTAGCTGTTATTAATTTTGTAATTGCGGAATGCTTATGTGGTTTGGTTCATGCTCAATGGAAGCAAGTCTGACTGGTTATACAAGTTTATGTAAACAAAGGCTATGCAAGTGATCAATAAGCACTCATTAAGCCTAGCCACACCTCCAATAAACACTGAATTGAAATGAATTGGGCCTTTAAAAAACACTACTTTAGGTTAAGCACAGAATCCTTACCCCATCCTTGGTCCTCCTCCACGACCCCTACGTAATGGTCCATTCATATGTCCTAGAATGAAATTGGGTTTATCATTAAGTAAACTGATTACATGAATATCTGGTAGATTAAAAACTCAATAGACCCAATTGCATTCATGCAACAGTTAGCATGGGTTAACACTTGTTAAAGGCCGACATGGTATATAAACAGATGGGGGCGTGGTCTATTGTTCAAATGAAGTCGCTTTCCCCCACATCAACAACGGTGACTTAAAAAGCCCACAAAGACATGCGAAACAGCGATTCTTGCATTTCCTAATTTTCAAACATGAGTGGCGCCATGAATGTTCAGGAAAGCCAATAAATAAAAATAGTAGTAAATTTAACAGACATTTACAAAACAGTTGAGTATCGAATTTGCCCGCACTGCAAGCTCCATCCACAACATTTTCAAAATGCCTACTTTGCATACGAGGTGAAATAAACGCCACTAGTGCGTTGTTTATGTTACAGAATACAATGAAATGAATTACAGGAAAGAAAACACATACAAGCTTCTTTGCAACGTGTGGTCATGAGGTTGTCAAAACCAGACAGTATATAAAGTGTCTGTCTGAAAACACAAACTGTGGTTGAAATCAACTTATCAGCGATAAACTGCATTCATAATCCATTCCCAACAATTTTGCCTGTAGTTATGACATGTGCACTTGATCTTTTTATTTAACAACTTTTGCCCACTGCAGTCATCGGGAAAAGTTCACACCCTGGTGTGTGGTCGATCAACAATCTCATTCAAATGTAGAATTGCTTGGAATGAAATGTGAAAAATGTCATGAAAATTTTGTTTACCGCTTTCCACATGACTAGAGGGTGTGGACGTAAGTATTCAGAGTTTTTCTAAATAACATAATTCTGAATAAATGAGCAATAGAGATTTTCTGCCGCCATGCTGGTTGCTAATAAGTTTTATTTCCGGATCATAGCGAGGATGCTTTGGCATAGTTTGGAATTGCTTTTAGTTGGTCAAATGAAAACGATAACCTGTAGCCGCATAAGAAACCTTAAGCAGTTTCACAATTCTGTCTGAACGCCTTTTGTAACAAGTTCCACTACGATATCTAAACATGGTCGCCACTAATGTTCTTTTGTTTTTGCGCAGCCTAGCCAAAATAAGTATAAAAAAACATAGTTGAACTCTGGTGACCTTGCCCTTTGTTATATAATATAATTGCCTTTAACATAGTTTGTTTCAATATAAATATACATTGTCATAATTAATTTTGAATACAAAAAAGTTTTGGGGTTGAACTAACAGTGGGGAATCAGTCTACCGAATGTCCTTTAAAGATGTAAATATCTTACAAAAACATTGGTGCCTTATTTGTTTAATTATTTTAAGGGACATAATTTCCAGCTTTATTCAAAGAAATTCAGATATTTTAGTATAAAAACAAATGCCTCATTGCAAAAACAAAGTGCTGCATTTAGACGTGAATAGATTCATAAAACATGCAAGATAACAGAAAATCTTAGCTGGCTTTTGTCCAAGTATTTTGTACAGGTGTCTGTCAAAAATTAATGATTCGCTGAGACAAATATGAACTGCCTCATTGTGTGACTACTGTACAGTAAAACCTGTCAAAACCGACCATGACTGGGACTGGGATCTATGGTCGGTTTTCAGAGGGAGTCGGTTTATTCAGGGTGGGCGTGACTTTGATTGAAACAACAATTACATGTGCTGTAAACACGGGACAAATGAAAGGCATCGGAGTTTGCCTCCGGTGATTCTACATGTATTTACAATGTGCATTTATTGTATTGTTTCAATAAAATAATTTACCAAACAAGACAAAAATATTATGGTATGTACATGACA